CCTCTAAGACACCTGAAATACAATAGCTCGTGGAAGGAGGAGGAGGGAACTCATTGTTGGAATCCATTTCATGTTAGCCTTGACAAAAAGGAAAGGAATAGAGATTAACAATTCGAAAATGGAGCTTGTTAATTAAAATGAACTACAACCATACAACTTGTCCTGTAACTCCCTGGGAAATCATTTCTCTCCCCCTTAATTATGATGATGAAAACTTATCTGTAACTGGGATGAAATGCAGTCACCTTTATCAGAGAGAAAAATTGCTTCCTAGAGCTGGCTGCAGAAGTACTGCTTTTCTAGAATGAAAAATGAAACCACACAAAAAAAATTTTTTTTAAATCCTAGAGGGATTCTCTAAATGAAGTTGCTCTTCAGAGCTAACTACGTGTTGGTGTATGTTTGAATATGTGGGGCAGCTTCTCCCATGATGAATCCAGACTTAATAAACCAATAGCGTTTAGATGTCTACAATCAGGACTCTTGGAGTTGTAAATACTTTAACAGGTACACAGCTGCAGAATTACCTATTATTGAAGCCAAGCTTAGAGTGTCCTCCTGGACCTGCACCACATTAGCTAGGATGGTTGTCAGGCTCTGGAATTCTCCATTCTCCAAAAGATAATTTATCCTCACATGAGCACTGCTAAGCGGTCATGTAGCTGTGACACTATTACCTGCTTTTGAAAGAAATGGAGCAGAATAGTGAGGAGAAATGGAAAGGCACACTTTAGTTGCTGGAGCGACTCCGACTCTGCAATGAGCAGGAGCGAGATTACCATAGCAGGCTGTCGCCCAGGATGCTGTTGGCCCCTGTGGCCGTCCCTTCTGCCTCCACTGGCCTGTGGGCAGCCTGTGAAGAGGTAAAGAAAGGTCTTTTTATGCACAGTCTCTCTCACCGCCCCTGAACCCACCCCTCAGCAACCCTATCTGCCGCGCTCCATCTTTTCTTGGCAACACTAGAAGTCCTTTGTAAACATCCTCCCGGAAAATTCTAGATCTGTCTGATAAACTTCGGATGGGGGCCAACTTTAACTCCCATCTCAGAACACACTGGATGGAGAAGCTAAAGGATTGTTCTCTTCGGAGAAAGATTTGAGACCCCTAAGCATGAGAAATGTCCAGGACACATTCTTGATCTACGGTTGGACCTTTTTCCTTTCCCTGAACCCCAAGTTCTTAGGAGACTTGCTTGCACATCCGGAGAAAGGGGTGAAAAATGCACAAGATTGGGAAAGCAAGAGAAACAAAACGTTCAAAGACGGGCTCCAAGTTAGAGCTCACCAGTGCCCGGCCCTCCACCAAACCCAAATAGCCCACGAGGTCAGAAATGCAGTTTTGTTTTTAAAAAGAACTTATTGGCAGGCTCAAGTCTCCTTTCTCAAATCCACCCACTTCCCCTTCTTCCAGTCTGCTACCCCAAGTTTAAGGAAAGATATTTGTCTATTGAAAGTTTCTGCTTTATTCCCTTAGATTCCTAAAGACCCACATCAACAAGTGGGGGATCCTGTGGGGTCTCAGGACAGCGGTCTTACTGTCCCTCTCTGGTTTCCTTCTTTTGGGACCCAGATACTTTTTTTTTTTTTTGATACTGGGAATCAAACTCAAGACCTCGAGCTTGCCAGGCAGGTGCTGTGCCACTGAGCTATATCCCCAGCCACCAGCTATTTTCTTTACTCTGGGAGCATGATGGCAGATTTCTGGGAGAGCTCATCAGAGACTACGATGCTTGATTGAAACATACAGTGAATGTGTACATTAAATTATTACAGCAGGGCTGGGGATGTAGTTCAGCAGAGCAGCGTCTGCCTGGCAAGCGTGAGGCTCTGAGTTCGATTCCCGGTACCAAAAAAGAAAATAGTAAATTATTACAGCCAAGAATAACACTGCTGCAAATCCCCGGCAAAATACCCTTGTCAATTCAGACACACTTATCCCATCATTCTTACCACTTTCTGAAGCAGCTCTGGAGTCCTCTTTCCTGAGTGTCTTTACGAGGTGTGAACAAAACTACAGTGAATGCTGCTGCTGAGCGCCACTCAACAGAAAGGCGGGCTCCTGAAATCGTGACACTGTGTCCTCACCCACCTTATTTACTCTGGCACCGTGTGACTTCTAGCTCTTCCCCAAAGTCAAAGTGACCACAAAAGATCGATGCTTTGGATTAGTTTAAGATATCAAGGCAGCCATGACAGCCAACTAAAGACCCTCACTAAAGCGGACTTCCAGAACTGCTTCCAAAAGTGGGAAGAGATAGTATTTCGATAGAGATTGATGTCAAGGTGTGTCTTTTTTGGAAATAAGTTGTTTTTTTATTTAAACACACACTATATTTTTCGATCATACCTTGTATGTCAGGCATAGGTTTAACTCCTTGAGAAATTGTTTTCCAAAATAGTTTGCAGCTTTTTATATTCCTACCAGCAGAGGATGAGGTTCTGGTTCTGACCCACCTTCACAGCACGTGGTGGGGCTTGTGCTCTATTTTATGTATGTATGTATGTGTGTATGTATGTATGTATGTATTTTTGGTCTTTTTGAGACAGGGTCTCACTATGCAGTTCAGGCTGGTCTTTTTTTTATTTTTTGGTACTGGGAACTGAACTCAGGACCTTGTGCTTGCCAGGCAGGTACCCTGCCACTGAGCTATATCCCTGACCCCAGGCTGGTCTTGAACTCACTTTGTAGCCCAGACTGGCCTTGAACTCACGATGATCCTTCTGCCTCAGCCTCCCTAGTGCTGGGATTACAGGCGTGCTCCTGTAATCCCCAGCTTGGGGCTTGTGTTTTAGTTTCAAATATTCTCTTGGGTCTACAGGAGGTTGATCTAATATGGTGATTTGAATTTGCAGTTCCCTAGTCACCAGTGATGGAAAATACCTTTCCCTGTATTTATTTGCCTTTGCATTCTTTTTGGGTGAGATGAGATTTCTGTTGACATCTTTTGCCCGTTATGTAACTGGGTTGTGCTATGGTTGGATGTGGTTTGCTCCCAAAGGCTCATGTGCTGGAAGCCTGACCCCAAGGTGGCGGTGTTGGAGCGGAGGGAGTTTTAAGAGAGGAGGGCACAGTGGGCCGTGGCTCTGTACCCTTAGCAGGGATCAGTGTCTTTCTCAAAGGACCACGTTAGCTCCTGGAAGCATGGGCTGTTACAGGAGCACAGCCCTGGTTCTCTCTGTTCTCTTGCACTTGAATCACACACACAGCCCTTCTACGTGTGAGCGAGGGTCCACTTTCCAGCCACCAGGATCATGAGCTAAATAAACCTCTTTTTTAAACATGTTATCCAGAGTCAAGTATTTTGTTATAACCATACAAAAGAAATTTGCTTTTTATATAATCTGGACACAATTCCCTCATCAGATTTGTGAACTGCAAATATTATTTTCAAACTCTTTTTCCTGAAAAGCTTTTTAGTCTTAAAATAGTGCCTTTTGAAGGGCAGGGTGCTGTACACCTATAATCCTAGCACTCAGGAGGCTGAGGCAGGAGAATTGCCCCAAGTCTGAGGTCAGTCTGGGCTACATAGTGAGACCCTGTCAAAAAAAACAAAACAAAACAGAAAACAAAATAGTGTCTTTTAAAGAGAGAAGTCCTCAGTTTTGAAGTACAACATATTAATTGCTATTAATATACAGTACTGTGTTTTTGGTGTTGTGTCTAAGAAATGTTCACCTAATCCTAGGTCATGAAGATTTTCTATTATATTTCTTTTAGAAATTTTGCAAATTTAGGTTTTACATTGAGGTCTTAGCTCTATTTTAGTTTACTTCCTGCGTGTAATGTGAAACATAAATAGAAGTTCTGCTTTCCTTCATTCTGTATCCATTTCTCCTGCATAATTTGTTGAGTAGATGATCCTTTCCCCACTGGCTTGTCTTTGCACATTTGATGAAAATCAATCAAGTATATATTTGGGCTGTATTTCTGGACTCTCCATTGTTCTAGTAATCTATTGTCTTGGTTGTGAAATTTCCCACTGTCTTGATTCTTGTAGCTTTCATATAAAGCTTGAAGTTGGGGTACACAAGTCATCCAACTGTGTTCTTTTTCAAAAGCGTGTGGTTGCTCTGTTTCCTTTGCATTTCTGAGCTGGACTGGACAGGTATAGGCTCAGCCGATGGTGCTACCGTAGCCACCTGTTGCCCAGGCCCTTTTCCACAGCTCCGGCCTCTCCCGGGGCTTGGAGCCAATGGAGTAGAATGGGGGAGGGAGGGCCGGGACTTTCAGGAGGCTGATTGGCAGCAGGGCTCAGATTCCAGTGGAATGTTTTCCTGGGCATCGGCTTTCCCTTCCTGGATGGGTGGATGAGCGGAGGTTGCTTGTGAGTGTTTTTCTTGGGCACATTTATTGGGTTTCAACAAAAACACAGGATATTGGGCTGGATCTTCCGTGGCCGAGGGTGACTTGCAGGCCACCTCTGACACTTCCTTGAGGTTCGTCTTATCCAGCCCTTGTCACCATTCAAATGCCCGAGGGACGCATTTACAGAGCCCGGAGCCTGACCTGACGGGCCGCACACCATCAACACCATCCTGACCTCCTGTCTCACTGCTCCAGGAAGATGCTGGCCGGAGACAGTAACTCGACTGCAGCAGTGTGGATCTGACCACACCCTGGCCTTTATAAAACCCTTTCTGGCAAGTAGGAGCTTTAGTTAAAGCTATGGTATGCGTTGGTTTGCCCAGAATAGTCCTGGTTTTTGCTTATTGCCCAGGTACAATTATTGATAATAACCCCTTTCGCTCCCCAAAATGAGCCAGGCTAGATGATAAATTATATGGTCACCCTAAGTAATGCTTTCCAACCGGGGAGCCCAGTGTGGAGACAGGCACGGGGGTGGGGCGGTGTCTCAGTGACCGGCAGAATGCACACGAGCTTGTACAGTTTCTTGGTTACGTTTGCCTGTGTTTTCTTTCTGAGACAGGGTCTTGCCGTGCCATTCAGGCTGGCCTTGGCGTTTCTCTTGCCTCGGCTTCCTGAGTGCTTGGATGACAGGCGTGCACCACCACGCCCGGCTATTTTTCTTAATCAGCCGCGACAAAGTGAACTACTGTTCTCCAAGGCTCTAAGAAGGTGTGGAAGTGAAGGAAAGAATCAGCTAACAGTGGGGACCTGTGACGTACAGGACACGTGTCCTAATCCAGTCTCTCCTGCCCTACCCCTCTCCTATGGTTCTCTGCCTCCTTGGGGATCGGCCAGCCGGGAGGAGTGATTGCGGCTCCCCACTCTGCCCCACGGCCTTGGGGCTCTGTGCTGCGCGGTGTGTGCCCCCTCCTCTGGAAGACACTTGCCCCTCACCCCCGACCCCAGGTGTTTTCTCCGGCTCTTCCCGGCCGCCTCTCCCTCCTTCCTCCCCTCTCCTGCCTGCGTTAGGGGCACATCGCCCTGAGAGCCGCGTGAGGGACAGCACTGTCCCCGACCTCTGAGCACCGTGACTGGCACAGGTGAGGACACGGCCAGGTGCTGCCCAGTGCACTTGGCCATAAACATTCACTGGGCATTAACTTTGCCCCAAGCGCGACATAGCAGGGGACACGGCGGGGCACGCGGCATCCCTGTGTCCAAAGTGTCGCCACCCACACACGGGTGTGGTGTGGTGTAGGCGTGAGCACGTGCCAGGCCCGCTCACGCGTGTGCACGTAGGTACCTGCTCTGGTTCCTGTCCTCCCGCCTAAGTGTCTCTCAGGAATACCCCAAAAGGGGGAAAAGGCTTCGGATCAAGCCAGTCTTTTCCACGAAGTTCATAGTAAAGGAAGCAGCATAAACTTGATTGTGGTCAGGTGGGGAAGTTCAGGGAGCCTGAGCCCATGAGGACCCCGCTGAGTCCTCAGAGCAGAGGAAGTGGGGGGCCTGACCTCCCCCGTACCCTGGCCAGGGCTGCAACTCGGGCTTCTCGGGGGCCAGTGTGTGACAGGCAGGGCTCTGCGTCCTGTCGCTTGTCTTGTCGCCAGGAGGGGCTCTTCCCAGAGGCGGGTCCCAGGCTGCAGAGCGAGGCAGAACCGAACCCCACGTGCTGCTGGTGAGGACGGCTCTGGTTCTGGTGATTTATTTGCGAAGCTCTGGGCCTGGGAGGGGAGGTCACCGCCAAGTTGGGTCCTGCCGCAGGGAGGAACCGGCCCCTCACTTCCTTGGTCCTTGACCCTTGGCTCTTTGTGCTCTGGATGAAAAGAACTCGGTCAAGACACACAGGCAGCCGAGCAGACATCTAGGGAGAATTTACTGAGCAGTAGAGACGGGGATGCAGGAAGGCAGGCGAGGCCGCGAAGGCCTCTGCCCCAAGGGTGAGCTCGGAAACATTTTAGGCACCCGAGAATTACTCCTGGCGCTCAGAGAGCAAGAATCGTCGTGATGCTCATCAGCATTTTACTTAGAACTTACTTTGGAATTGCGAAATGTCTTCCTGTCCCTTTTAGAAGGTCAGTGTCCTCAGAGGCTTTAATCATCAGATACATTGAAGTCTTCAATTAATTAGCAAATGCATATGACTTTTTTGTTGTTTCTGAGACAAGGTCTTCCGGTGTAGTTCAGCCTGGCCTTGATCTCATAGCCCTGAACCTCCAATTCATGGCAATGCTCCTGCCTCAGCCTCCCGAGTGCTGGGAGTACAGGCGTGCACCACCACACTGGGCTTGCTTGGATACCCTGTGCCTGTTTTTCCCTCAGGCCCCCTAATGCCTAACTACCTTCCCAACAGGAGTACTCATGGGCGGACCAAGTCAACACTGGTCCTAGGAGCCAGCAAGGCAGCCACTGAGACAAAGAGAGGGAAAGAAGTAGGGGTGGAGGTGGAGCGCATGGGAGGGAGAGAGAGAGAGACAGAGAGCGACCCTCAGGCGAGCCCCCAAACCCAGCTCTGCAGAGGGCGAAAGGACAGGATTCCTGACACTCTATATCCATCTCCTCCTCTCAGCCCCTGCCTGCCCTCACTCCGACTCACTCAGCTGCCCTCCCACCCCAGCTCTGGGATTCAGGTTTCCCGCTTTTCTCCCAGAGGTTGTTACACCTTAGGGCAGCTCTGGGTTTTCTTCTCTTCCAGCTGTCGCCTCCTTCTCCTCCGAGACACGAGTGGACCCTGCTGGGTCCAGGAAGACAGCCGGTGCGAGGTAGGCCCACCCGGCCGGGGGAGGCAGGGAGGGTGGCCAGCCGGCCAGGCCTGGGAGCTGGCACTGGGTACCCGAGGTGGGCTTTCTCCACCCTTCCAGAGCAAACACGTGGCGGGAGGGCGGGGATGCTCGGTGACTCTGGGGCGCTGAGAAATGCCAGCTGCCTGCAGGAACCTGAGCCCTGAAGCCCAGATGACTCAACCGCTGCCCCATGGCCAGGGCCTCTGTCCAGCCCACCCGGGGCCTCTCCCTCCCCTACCCCGGCGCAGAGAAGGAAGGGACGGGACTGGAACTCCTGTCCCCCCGGGGAGGGAGGCTGTGCAGTTTCCTTTAGGAGTGCTGAGTCACCGGTGTGGCTGCTCTTGGTCTTCACTCTGGGAAGACTGGAAAGAACCCACAAGCCGAGGTCCCCCAACTCCTCCACTTGTGCTAGAGAGCTGGGGCCGAGCCTCAGATTCCTAGACGAGCCTGACTGCCGCGTGGCCCAGCCGCTGGGACTGGCCCTGCCTTCGCTTTCCTGTTCCACTTGGACAGTTCGCCCTGGGTGGGTAATCAGGGATTTTTTTTTGGACAGGGTTTCACTATGTAATTCAGGCTGTCCTTGAACTCACTACACAGCCGAGGCTAGCAATCCTGCCTCAGCCTCCTGAGTGCTGGAATTACAGTCATGTGCTACCATGTCTGGCTTCAGGGATGGGTCTTCTTGCTCAACATAGAATGCCTAGTATATAAGAAGTGCTGAACATGTTTGTTGAATGAATAAATGAGTAAAATGAGCCAGAGAGAGAAAAGGACGTGGAATTCAAGACTGGACACAGACTGAGTATCAGCTGGGTATGTGAGATTTAAAAGGGTTCTGGGTCTTGGGGCAGAAACTGTGTCCTTGCCCCGTTCTGTAGCCACCACCTAGCGGCAGCCCCTGGCATGGTGTAGCTCCCCTCTGCAATGACCTGGTCCCATCCCAGGGATGGCTCAGGGAGGGGCGTGGCGCTTTGGGAGGGTCTGTCTTGGCTGGGGAAACTCCATGAACGCTGCTCCCATTTTTTTTCTTCTTCTTCTATTTTTTTTTTTCTTTTTTAATGAGGGCAGGTGACAGCGCCAAGGTCACAGATATTTGAGGTCGGGCAGGGCTTATCTGTCTCCAAGTCAGGTTCTTCTGGCCCTGCCTGGCCCCTGGGCGATGTAGCAGGCAGCTTTTCCTGGATAAAGACGGACAGGCGCTGACTCAGTTGCAGCAAAACCAGTTAGACCAGGCTGCTCTGCCCTCCCCTCCACCCTGCCCTGGAGCCTCTCCCCACCCCTCCTCTATTTCTCCAGTATCCCTACCTACCAGGCTCTCAGAGAGGAAGCACTGGTCCACCTGGACCGCCTTAGGAGACCCTGCTTTTCGTTCACGCCGGAACCGTGTTTGTTTCTGCAGTGCAGTGAGTGCCGGGGAGAACATGGTGCTGAGGGTGAAGGCAGAGGACTACACAGGACTCCAGGCAGCCTGGGAGCTCTGTGGCTGCACGGTGCATGCCGGTGATCCCAGCTACTCAGGGGGCTGAGGCAGGAGGATCTCAGGTTTAAGCCCAGCCTAGGGGCAGTTTGGCTGCTTAGCAAGAACCTGTCTCAAAGTAAAATATAAAAAAGGCTAGGGATGAAGGTCAGTGCAAAGGCTCTGTGTTCTTTTTTTTTAAAGGTTCTGTGTTCAATCATCCCCAGTGCCATGAAAAGAAAAAAGTGCGTGTGGGTTTTCTTTTTATTAGTCATGTACAAAGTGTTTGCTGTCTGGCCTTCATTTAGTCTCAAGGATGCTGAAAGACTGAAGTAGGCTCCAAGCCAAACTAAGAGCAAGTTGCTGGGTCAGACTTGGGGAGCAGGGACCCCTGCCAAAGCGGGCTTGGGAGCCCCGGACCTGTTAGCATCCGTTTTCAGAGACCCAAGGGCAAGCTTCCTTCAGTCAGGATTTACAACTGGATCCCCTTCAGTCTAACTCAGGAGTGAAAATCCCACGTCCATAAATAGAGAAGCTCAGAAGCGCCCAGGCTGGTGGACACGGTATGCATTTTTACTGATGGCTTTTTGGGAATGGAGACCACAAGAATCACACATTCAACTGTTTGACTCTTTCAACTAAGTGCGAGGGGAAAATGTCAAGCCCAGGCCATTAGCCAGGGTTCAAGATGTTCTTGTTGGTCGTCCCTGAAGCCAGAGATTGCAGAGATTCCCAGCCTGAGCTTGTGATGTTCTGGGGTGATTTCAAGTGATGTCACAGGGTGAAAATACAAGTGTACCTTAGCTTAAAACACACACACACACACACACACACACACACACACACACACACCATTACCTGTACTACAAGTTTGTTTAGAGAATGAGAACTATGAAATCAAGCAACAGATAGGCATCTCTTATCCAAATGTTTTGCTTTACAAAGTAAAATTATCAAATAAGACAAAATATGAAACACTTTTATTTTTTTTACAAAGAGGAATTTTATTATTAAGAGAAATAATAACACATAGAAACAAATCCTAAAACCTTTCAGTGTTTGACTACAGTTGTTTCAGGGTAGCCCTGAACTCACTGTGTAGCCCAAGCTAGCCTGAAACTCTGGGTGATCCTTCTGCCTCAGCCTCCCGAGGGTTGAAATTACAGGCATGCGCCACCACCCCTGGCATACAGATACTCTCTTTGTTTCATAAATCACTGAGTAAGCGTGACAAAGAGGACCTAGCTGGAATCCACAAGGGGTTTCACATTTCATATAAAAGGAGCCATGGGGCCAAGGATATAGCTCAGTGGCACAAGTGCCTGCCTGGAGAGCACATGGTCCTGAGTTCAATTCCTGGTACAAAAAAAAAAAAAAAAGGTGCCATGAGCAGGAAGCTAAAGGAAGCTTTGGGCAGTTTTATAAGGTGTTATGGAGGCTCTGTGGACCAGGGGAGCCATGGACAGTTTTTATTTATTTTTATTTTGTTTTATTTTATTTTATTTTATTTTATTTTATTTTATTTGAGACAGAGTTTCATAATGTAGTTCAGGCTGGCCTTGAGCTCACTGTGTAGCTGAGGTTGGCCTTGAACTTTAGGTTGTCCTCCTGTCTCAGCTTTCCAAGTGCTGGGATTACAGGCAGATGCCACCAAGGCTGACTTTGTTTTGGTGTTTTGAGACAGGATCTTGCTACAGGATCTTGTAATCCAGGCTGGTCTTGAACTTGTGATCCTGCTGCCTTAGCCTCCTGAATGCTGGGGTTTCTTTTTACTTTTTCAAAAATGTAGCTATCAGATATTAGACTAAAGTTGCTTTTGGGGCTCACATTTTATTTCTCTTGGGCAGTGCTAATCCTTGAATTCCCCTGGGACTTGAATTTAAGACCATATTCCTTACCATGACCTCGAAAGCCCCACATGATCTGACCACTGCCAGCCTTTCTGGTCTTAGCTCAGACCACAGTCCCTATGGTCACCTTATTTCAGCTCCTCAGCACTTCTGATTCTCTAGCTCACCAAGATCCTTCCTGCTCAGGGATGGTGGGGCCCTGCTGGGGCCACTGCTTCTTATGTTCCTTCCTTGATCTCTACTCAGCTAGATTCTTCCACTGTTTGGATGCTGTCCAACTTAGCCGTCATCCTCTCAGGACAATCTCATCCTCTGTTTTCTAAAAAGCTCTCTCTCCTCCAGCACCACCCCAGCCCACTTCTCCACTTTGTTTCATTTTGTTTTTTCTTTTTGAGACAGGGCCTCGCTCTTGAGTTCAGGCTGGCCCTGAGCTCACTTTGTAGCTGGTCTCGAACTCACAGTGATCCTCCTGCTTCACCCTCCCAAGTACTGGGATTACAGGTGTGCGACACCACGCCCCACCCACTTCTCCACTTCATTTTCTTCTGGACATTTCGTCGGTATAGAAATCACCTCACCACTCTTTGTTTCTTTTATGGTGTTTGGTCTCCACCCTCTAGATGACCGCATCTCCTCTGAGAAAGCAAGGGCCTGGTCTCTCTTCTTCTTTGTACCTCAGTGCCTAGCACAGGGCCTGGCATAGAATAGGTGTACAATTAATATTTGATGCACAAGTGAATTGAGAAATACAGAAACACTGAGAAGCCAAAAGTTTGGGGTGTGTCCTGTTAGTTACTTGCTATGTAACAAATCATCCCACAACCTAGAGGTCTGAGAAAGGAAACCAGCTGGCTTTGTACTTGGACAGGACTCTGGGAACATAGACTGAGTCTATTCAACATGACCTCATGCTATATCTCTAGCTTCATTAATATGATTTTATTTTTCCATCTCCTGCTCAGGTAGATGGTTTGATTCTTCATTAAATAACTTCTTATTCGTATTTCACTGGAAAACACCAAACTTTGTACCCTAAGTTTCTTTGAATCCTTCATCTTGAAATCCTCACCTTGCAGTTTCTACCAGTTTTGGATCACTCCATTGTGGCTCTGGCCTGGTCCTGCCCATGTTCCCATTACCCTACACCAAGCATGGAATCATCAAGTCATGGGACCTTCTTTTCTCCCTTGGACACACTACTAATGGCTTCCCAGGTGGCGCTACCCCTCATCCGGACAGCAGCAACCTCAGCTTTGTCTCTTAAGGAGGTTGTTGTTATGGTTTAGATCTAGAATGTACCCCAAAGCCTCATGGGTTCAGAGGTGGGGCATTGGGGGGGTGATTGGATCATGGTGGTGCTACACTCACCAGTGGATTAATGCCTTACTCATTCATAGCTGACTGCTATTAGAAGTGGGCCTGGTTGGAGGCAGGTCACTTGGGATACCGCCTGAAAAGGTTTATGTCCCTCCCCAGCCCCTCCATACTCATTTTCTGGCCACTATGACACGAGCAGGTTTCCTCTACCAGCCCCTTCCATCATGCCCTCTTGCCTTGGAGCCAGCCAACCATGGACAAAACCTGTGAGCCAAAATAAACCTCCACTCCTTGAACTGTGAGTGTTGGGTATTTTGTCCCAGTGTGACAAGAAAGGACAGCTGTGTTGCCAATATCTGGGGGCCAGGTTTTGGTAAGCATGAAACAACAACTCCTTTGTGATCTCTCATTATGCTGTAGGTTGACAGAGTTCAGCAGGGCGACTCTTCTGCTTGGGTGATGTTGGCTGTGTCACCATCCTCGTGGGATACCACCAGCTGCAGCAACCACGATGACCTTCTCACCTGCCTGGTGGCTTGGTGGTGACAGCTGGAAGGTTGGTCTCTGCTGGAATGCTGCACTGGCTGGCTTTTCCTTCTCTATGGACTTTTGCTTGTTTTTTGGTGCCGGGGGTTGAGCCAGGTCCTTGTGCTTGGCAATGCTCTATCACTGAGCGACAGCCCAGCCCTCCCTGTGTGGTCCTGAGGCCATTTCTTCTCCATGTGCCCATGGCCCCAGATGGTCTCCCCATTAGTGTGCCTGATTCTTAGATTATGGCTCAGAGCTTCCAACATGCCAAGGCAAAACCAGGCCATCTTATATGACACAGTGTCACTAATGCTGCTTTCTATTTGATAAAGCAGTCACAGGGCCAGCCCAGAATTAAGGAGAGGAGAAAAAACTGCCTCTTGATTGTAGAAGTGACACAAATTTGCCTTCCCTTTAATCCACCAGAGAGCTGAACTCAGAGATGGAGATGCTGGCTCATCAGCCATGGTGCTCAGGGGTCAGGGGATACAGAGGTCAGGCAGAGCCCAGAAGGCAGGGAACTTTCCCTTTCCCACTGTCCTAAGGCAGAAGCCCTGGGGCTGTCAGCAACTCTGCTGCAGGACCCGCGGAGCCACTGTTGTCTTCCCAGCAGCCACAGTGCGCCAGGTAGCCCCGGGGTAGAGCTGAGCAGGTTTGCAGGGAAAAGCTGCTGGTTGTCCTGCGTGCTAGTTTAGCAGCAAGCAACCCAGCATGGACACCAGGGACGCAGGAAGAGCATGAGAGGGCACAGGGAGGGCTGCCCTGGGCTGTGACGATGATCAGGACAACTGGAGAATATTTTCTTCAAATAAGACTGATTTTTGTTTAAAAATGCAAATATTTGGATATAAAAGTAGCATAAGTGTTTAGAAAAGAGAGAAAAATAGAAAACATCACCCATATTCTCTCTCCCTAACACAGCCAGGCATTCTGTCCTGGTCTTATCAGAGAGCAGGCGCTTGGGAGAGCGTAAGAATGGGTGGCTATGGGGGCCGATCTGTGAGTAGGTGGCGACGGAGAAGCCTTCTCAGTCCTGTGCAAAAGGGTCTGGCTGGGGAGAAAAAGGCTGGCCAGGGGTTTCCTGGGTCTCCTCAAATCCACACTTCTTGGAAGGCAGGGCTTGGTGGAGCCCTCCTGAGGAAAGCAGATGCACCAGCAACTGAGAACAGTCAGAGGTGAGACAAGGAGGGTTCGAGGGACAGAGGAGAAGCAGAGACATGCAAGAGGGGACAGGAAGGTATGGTGAATGTTTACATTCTTAAAAACCTCATGTCCGTAAAAGTCACATTGCAAAGAATGATGGGATCAGTGTATTCAGAGTGAGAGGGAGAATTCTGAGGGAGATTCGTGGCAACATATCTTCTACTGTAAATTTTTTTTTAATGTGAACATTCACCATAAATTTTGATCACTCCCCACAGATCACACATTGATGATTTCTGTCAAATAAAACCAGGACGCTGTGTCCTTATCCACCTTATTCACCAGATCTGGCACTGTGCAATTTCTGGGTCTTCCACAAAATCAAAATGACCATGAAAGGGAAATGTTTTGAATCAGTTCAGGGCACTGACACAGCCTAAGACCCTCAGGAAAGAGGACTCCAGAACTGCTGCAGAAAGCATCAGGATGGGATGCGTGTGTTGGAAGTGAGGGGAGGATTTTGTGGGGGATTCGGGGCAATGGGTCTTTTATCGTAATAAAAAATGCATTCACTGCTATTTTTGATTACACCTTATATACCATTGCCAAGGCTGCCAGAGGTAACGGTTTCTGCCTTTACCCACCATACCTGCAAAGCCAGGCCGAGCTTCTGGTCTAACCAGCTGTGCTCTGCCACCCTTCATGATGTGGGCATTGCTCCCTCCGGCCGCCACCACCCCACACCCAATGCCACCTGTCCTCACTCCTCTCTCTTCCTCCTCACCTCCCTCACTCCCTGAGCAGCTGGGACTATACAGCTCTGCATCTAGCTAAGTGCTCTTCTCTTCTTTTGCTTTCCTTCCTTCTCTCTCTCTCTGTATTTATTTACTCTTCCTTTCTGGTGCTGGGGATAAAACCCAGACTCTTGCACCTGCTAAGCACATTGTCTTAGACACTTTTCTCATGGCGGAGACACAAGACCAGACACCTAAGACTGCAAAGGAGGAGAGGTGTACTTTGGCTCATGGTTTGTAGAGGTTTCAGCCCATAGGCAGCTGGCTGCAAGGCAGGGCAGTGTGGCGGAGAGGTCTGGCGGAGGAGAAAGACCTCATGGGATGGTGGTGGGAAGCAGAGAGAGAGCAGAGGGAGGAGCCGGAGGAGATAAACCCTCTAAGGCCAGGCCCTCCATGACCTGCCTCTTCCATTCGATCCCCCGCTCAGCTCTAAACTGAAGGGTGCAGGAGGGGCTGGGGATTTAGCTCAGTGGCACAGCACCTGCCTGGCAAGCACAAGGTCATGAGTTCGATTCCTGGTACTGGAAAAAAAACAAAAAAGAAAAAAAAATGGGTACACGAATCCACTGCGGAGTGTCAGCCCTATGGTCTAGTCGTCTCCAAGAGTCTTACCTGTGAGTGCTTGAGGCTTTGGGGCTGTCTCCATATAAACCACAGCACATGTGCTCTACTGCTGAGCTGCACTCCAGCCCTACACATTCCTTTGGATCAAGCACAAAGCCAGAGTAGAAACAGCAGCAGTCACCAGCACAACTCACTATGTAGTGAAGGTCGGCCTTGAACTTGCAGTGATCCTCCTGCCTCAGCCTCCTAAGTGCTGGGGTGACAGGTATGGGCCACCAGGCCTGGCCAATCAATAGCGTATATAATGAGTTGTGTGATGACAATCCTTCTTCCTGTACGAGGAACATCAGCTTCCAGAGGAGCTGGTGCATTGCCAGCCCTGGTGCGAGATGCTGGGGCTATAGGAAAATGATATCATTTTTGCTCCCCCACGTTTTGCATAGTCTGGGGTGTGGGGCAGATGCGCAGATTGTCCAGCAGTGCTTCCTTAGATGCCCCAGGAAGGAGCAGGAGGGATGGGTGGGTCACAGAGAGGCTGGGAGCCATCAGGGTGGACTTCCTGAAGCAGGTAGCCGAGCCAAGGACAGGGGACACCCGAGGTGTCTGGACAGGGGACAGAGGAGGGGCACTTCCGGCCCAGGGACAGCCTGTTCATGGGACAGAGGCCGGCAGTGCCAAGGGCTGCAGTGAGGCAGGATGCGGCTGCTGCTAGGGAGGGACAGGCCTGTCCTGTATGGAGCTCAGGACAACGTAGGGCGGCTGCTGCACATGTGACAGAGGGCCCGGGGTCAGTCTGGGGATACAGGAAGCAAAAAGCTGGAAACCACTGCCCCAAGGCAGGGATGCTGGGGACCAGGGGACTAAGACAGGATGGCCTCATGGTTCCTGGTGACGCCAGAGGCGCAGACACCAGAGGTGGGCGTGTGGGAGACGCACTGCCCTGAGAACACAGGGGCAGGGCCCAATAAGGGCAAATGGGACGCAGTGACTGCCATGTGGAGATGCCCATGATGGCTGTGTACACGGCTGGGCACCCAGGAAAGAGTCCGAGATGGAAGATGCGGACGGGGTGGTCTTGGGATGTTGCAAGCCCAGCACTTGGGAAGCTGAGGCAGGAGGATTGCTGGGAGTTTGGGGGCAGTCTGGGCTTCAGAGTGAGTTCGAGTCTAGCCTGAACTGCATAGTGAGACCTTGTCTCAAAATACAAACAAACAAGCAAAACAGGAACAGCTTGTGTTGGATGTTTTCTCCTCCCAGGAAGTGCTTCTGGTGGCTGCTCATACATTCACAGCACTTGCTTCTGAAACTGATGTGACCTAGGGGATCTTCTCTCTCTTTTGATGAATAATGTTGCTATTATGGCTGCTTTTACATTTGATGCCTTCGGGGCACATTTTATAACCATACAGCGAGGGAGAAAGGCTGGTGGAAGAGAAGCTTGCAGGGAAAACATGAAGTCTGAGGAGAAGTTTGTCAGTTGCAATGGTTTTTCTCTAGGCTTTAGTCTCTTGTAAACCGGATTTTTTTTTTTTTTTTTTTTTTTTGTCTTTTTGAGACAGGGTCTCGCTATGCAGTTCAGGCTGGCCTTGAGCTTACTTTGTAGCCCAGGCTGGTCTCGAACTCGCAACAATCCTCCTGCCTCAGCCTCCCGAGTGCTGGGATTACAGGGGTGCGCCACCACGCCCAGCCTGTAACTTGGTTTTTACTAAACCATACTTGAAATTTTAAGGGAAAAAAAAGGCATTGATCCATGCGTGAATAAAGGTAATTTAGAACTGGAGGGAGATCCAAAAATAGAAAGAATATCCACAGATCCAAAAATAGAAAGAATATCCAGAGATCCAAAGATAGAAAGAATACCCAGAGATCCAAAAATAGAAAGAATACCCACAGCAGAGCCCTATTGTTAATTTAGATTCTAATTTTTCACTCAGGCTACGATGACGGCTCCTCTCACTCTGTAAGGAACCACCATACAGACATTGCCAAAGCCACGTTTAACTCTTAAAAGAATGAATTCTGTACTGTTTTCATGCATTCGTTTTACTAAAGCAAGAGCCTTTGTAAAATGTGAATTCAGAGTCCATCCATGTCTTTGCAAAAGTTGGTGCTTTTCCTAAAAGACATTGAAAATGGAGATTTTTCTGCAAATGTTGACAGTCTTCTGTAGCCAGACCAGTTTGGGCAGCTTCCCTAATTCAGCAACCGCTAGCCAAGCGGGGAAAGCTATTTCTTAAGTGGGGAGAGGCCTGATAACCACCAGGCCATGCTCTCTTTTCAGAAAAGAAGAGGTCAGATGCAAAGGTGGGAAGAGATATTTTAGGACGGAGAGGGAATGTGGTAGTGTTTTGTTTTGCTTTTGGAGACAGGGTCTCCCTCTGGTGCCCAGGCTGGCCTTGAACTTGTGGTGATTGTTCTGCCTCAGCTTCCTAAGCGCTGGGATCACAGACACGGCCAGGGCGCCTGCCCAAGATTGTGAAGGTAAAAGGACTCCTGAAACTCCCCAGTCCAGCTTCTCATTGGGCTGGTGGGAATCAAAGCCCAGATGCCTAAGATACTTGCTCAGCGGATTTGGAACTAGATGCCACATTCCAGGACTCTCAGTCCCATTCCTTGACCACATCCAGATGGCCCTGCTCATTCAGGTTTTTATTTTTTACAGCACTGGGGATGGAACCCAGGACCTTGTGCATGCTAGGCAGGTGCTCCGCCACTAAGCCACACCCCCAGTTTAATCTTGAAATTAAACACTTGACCATAACTTTTCTTAGTTGGAATTTGACTAGCAATAGACCCCCAGCAATTTCTATGGTCACAAAATTTAATCATAAGTTAGAAGGCTGGCTGGGTGTGCTGGCATGTACCTGTAATCCCTGCACTCTGGGAGGCCGAGGCAGGAGGATTCCTGCAGGTTCAAGGCCATCCTGGGCAATTAATGACTTGGTGAGACTCTCTCAAAATAAAGGGGGCTCATTGCTAAGGCCCCATCCTCAGTACTGAAAACAAAACTACTAATTTAGGGGAACCAAAAAGTTACCTGTTATGATATACAACCTTTTTTGGAACTAGCACTGAATGAATTCTCCTCTTTTATAGGATTTAACAGACTAATTCCCCCCCCCCCTTTTTTTTTGTTCTTCCACTGTCTTTCCTGCCAGGCTGTGAGCTTCGTTTCTTTTGAGGCAGAGTCGCGTTATATAGTTCAGGCTGGCCTTGGACGACTATATAACCCAGACTGGCCTCCAACTGGAGGCGATCCTCCTGCCTCAGCTGACTGAGTGGTGAGGTTACAGATGTAAGCCACCACCTGTGAGTTTTATAATACAAAAGTCATGCCTTTCTTTTTCCTTTCTTTCTGTGGTTCCTGGTTTAATAATTATCAAGTGAATGCATGAAATTCAGAGACAAAAGAAGATGTTGTGGTCCTCTAGAATGAGGCTTGGTGCATTTGCAAGCAGCCCCTGAGGTCTCTGGGCAGAGGTCATGCTGGCTTTCTGGTCTGGTGGACATCTGCACTGCGGCTGTTCAGGACTCATAACCACTGACATACACCCAGGTGACTGTGCCAAGTACCCTCCTCCAACTCTGTAAGGCTTCACCGAGAGCCCTGGGTTACAGATGAGACAGTTACAAAGCTGCAGCACACGGTTACAAAGTTGCGAGGTGAAGCTCTGGTCTGCTTGTAGTCCCAGCGACTCTGAGGCTGAAGGAGGAAGATCTCTGGAGTCCTGGAATTTGAGACCAGCTCAGGCGACCTATCCAGACCCATCTCTTGAAAATCAGATGGGATACGGAGGCATAGGGAAGTTAATTTGCCTTGGGGTCAAAAATTGAAGAAATCTGGAGCCAGAGCCTAATGCTTATGATCCCTGAGCTATAATGCCATGAACTCAGGACCCCCTTTTTTAACCTCCACGCCAATTCTTACAGAGCCTGAAAGTGCACACGGAACACCACACTCACCTCCCTGACATTTCCCCAAGGCGCACCTCACCCTCCCACTCCTCACCCTCTGCTGAGTTCATCTTTCACCCGGACTCCCAGTGCCAGCGCTCTGAAACCCGTCCCCGGCTCCCTCCCAAATCAGAATCCATCTCTTGCTCTAAATGCCCTTTGTGTAAGCTTCAGTTCTGCTACTTGGCACCTGAAGCCTGGGATGAATCATTGGCGCTGGAGTCTCCCTGGCTGAACGAGGGGGGGCGTTGGGGCAGCGGAGGGGCTGTGTCTCCATGAGCACCTTAGCGCCTGCTATATACTGCTGGCTGCTTAGTAGGTGCTCAGGCTTATTATTATTGTTATTGTTGTTGTTATTATTATCATCATCATTATTGTTATTTGAGACAGGGTCCCCCTTTGTAGTCCAGGCTGGCTGAGAACTCACTATGAAATCCAGGCTAGCAAAAACTGACAGTGATCCTCCTGCCTCAGCCTCTCTAGTGCTGAGATTGCAGGCCTGCGCCACCACACCCTGCAATTCACAGGGCTTTTACAAGAGATTCCTTTTTCCAGGGCGTGCAGAGTCTCTGTCTGTCTGGTGGCAAGGCATTTTTTGGTGGGGAGGGGGGCGATGAAATGGCCTCACCCCTGCCTGCCCACTCCTGCCCCGGCTTGGCCTAACAAACGCCTGGCAGGGCCTCTGCTGCCCTGACCCTGGCCCGGGCCCAGTTTCCCGGCCTCTGAACGCGGCCCCGAGCTACCGGGGGAGCTGGAAAAACACTGGCGGGCGCCCCACCCCCGGGCCTGCTGCTTGGGAGGCGGCGGCGGCCTGCCTGCCAGCGGGCGCGGCGAGCTCGTGTGGCCGCGGT